GCATCTCTTTGTCCGTTGGTATTCTCATGAAGTCGGCCATCTTGCCGAGGACAATCTTACTCATTGCCCACATCATCGTGTTGCCATGTTTTCTTGCTGCAGAGAGAGGTAAGTGATAGACGGTGCAATCGTCCTCAGCAGCTGGAACAAACGTGGGACACCAGATAAACGCAGCAGTTGATGGCTGGCTTGAGGGTCGTCAAGCGTTACTAGGCGGAGTATCAACTCCGCCGTCAAGCGTTACTAGGCGGAGTAGGAACTCCGCCGGGTCACCACAGGCGAATTTGGAGACGAAATTCCTCTGGAACGCTGCTGTCCCTACTGGGATTCCAACTACTGGCATGCCACCTTCAGCAACTGACAGACAGACCAATTTTCGTCAATTGTTGCTGTTCGTCGTTTGTCGAAGAGGACATGAAAGACCTTCTGGGAAAAGCTTTTTGGATTTCGGGAGACTGAGCTCAACCCCTTTTTGGGAGAGACGTTCCTGAATCCAATTCGTTACAGTGGATATTGCCTGCATGCTCCTAGCCAAACCTGGTGGAAGATGCGCTTGGAGGTCGTCGACGTATCCGATGAATTTGACTCCTGGCACTGGTGGCTTGTTGTGGGTGATTCGTGCCCATGGGTACCGTACCCATGGGCATTGCCCGTGGGTACCCATGGTCATACCCATGGGTACGGTACCCATGGGTACGACTCCTGGAAACTGATCGGGAAAAATATGTTTCAGGGTCGCGTCCACATCGGCACAGCCTTCCGCCTCCAAGAGGGAAACTCATCCTCTTCTACGGCGAGGCCTGCGTTCTGGACCGCTACCTGAGCGGCCGAGGAGATATGTCCTGGATTGGAACGCTGCTGATCGTCGACCGGTACGTGACACGTGGGGCTGCGTTTCCAAAGAACCCAGGCCTATGCAACGAGATACTACGTACACCTCGGCGTAAAGTAGGGCGTGCTCCCTCTAAAAAGAAAGTTACTCACAGCGGCAGGTCGGGCGTTTTAAGTTAACGTTAACGGAGCATGGGGGGTGACGCGTACAGTATGTAGAAACTCCAAAGTGGAATGTGGTACTGTGGTACTGTCGTCGAACACATACCCCCACCTAACCCAATACCCGCGTTGTGCGCATACCGCTCGGGTGGACGCCGACAGTTCCATTATCGGGGCTATACGGAGCTTGCGTGCGCTTTCCTCAACTCGCCAAATGAGTACGACAACCCTCTTCTGTGGAACTTGCAAGAAGACCCGCCCGAGTTCTACTGGAACTCCTCCATCGCCGAGTCCAACAACGGGTGGCTAAGCGGTGCGTCAGCTAGACCCTGCATCGAACCAATAGCAGTTGCTGGTTACCAGCGTCGTTGCAGCCCCGCGTTGAGGTGTTGTCCTAGCTGTCTCACTCGTAATCCGTGCGTGGTGTTTCATCCATTTTTGGTCGAGAGTGCTTCAATCGACTGGCTAACTACGTCTACCTCCGTTATCTACCCTTACTTGTTCTGACACGCATGCCTCTCTTGTTGACCAGGGTTTCGACATGTCCTCATGCGCATGCCAAAGGTGCTGAACCGTTTCGTCTTGGACAACAACATCTGCTTCAAGAACGAGCTCGTGCTGACCGAAAAGCTGTGGTCCCACCATCCGACCTTTGACCGTTAGTGAAGCACGTACAACACATCCGGAACGGCAGGCTGTAGATCTCAGGAACCGCACCACTTCCGTTGCCACGTTCGTCCTCCTACGGTGTGTCGAGAGCGGGCAATCATTCCTGTCTGTTGACCTGAGTTCCCCGGTGCTTTCAAACTGGCAGGGAGGAATTCCATTCGGCCAGATGACCGGGGGTGATGGGGTGAAGCATGGATTTTGTTACATGCCTAATGGGGCTGCTGTACGTAGATTCGAGCGGTTTCGGCTGCTTCCTCTTATCTCGCAGCGTCATGTCACTTTGATCGGCGACTTTTCCCGGGATGGGTTTACTATACTGGGTTTACTAGAATGGGTTTGCTACTAGGGTCGACGTTGTTGTCGTTGTTTTTTGCTCCCCTTGCACCATTAGGTTATTGTAGATTGCCAACGTTTCCCGATATGGGGTTCCTTCCTGACGCTGGTGTCGTCTGTTCTCGGGCCTAAATGGGCCGTGCGTATTTCAACATCGTGGTTCCGACTTCTTGTCCACATCTTGGTTCCGCCTTTACTTTTTTCCTTGTTGCGTCGCGCACCGTGGAACGGCGATATTTTACGATGTCCGATGCGGCGTTCGTAGTGAAGGTGTGGAGCGTTGATTTTTTATGGTGCTGTATGTGGCTACATGTTTTTTTTACATTCATCACCACACACATCGGGTTTGGGCCGTCATGTACGCATGTTCGTATTTCCTTGGTGGTTGTTCGGGTCCGAGCGAAATAGTACCGATGTAGACAAATACTGCAAGGAAGGGGTAGGGGATTCAAGTCGTGGCAGAAGCAACCCCGCCCTATCGCGCGTAAATGGGTTTCAACCTCGTGGTCGCGAAATGGTCACGACATCGTCTACAGGGTTTCTAATCGTCGCCGAAGTGAACCGCCAGGCTAAATGGCTTTCTGTTCCTTTCTTTCTCTCTCAGCTAGGTTCGATACACCCATTCGTGCGTGCCCGTTCACGTGAAAAAGAGTTTCAAACCATGCCCGAAGCTTTCCCGCCCCCTAGCCCTCTTCATGGCGACGTGGTTTTCCGTTCGTTTCTTTGTCTCGGTGCAAACGTTTGATACGCATACATGCGCCCACAAGCAAGTGCAATTACAACGATGACCATGGGTACCCATGGGTTGGGTGCCCATGGGTACCCACGGGCATTGCCAATGGGCCACCATGGGCCACCATGGGTACCCATGGGAACCCATGGGCATTGCCCATAGGTCACCACGCCCCATGGGTACCCATGGGCACGAATTACGATAGTGTATATGATTTACCAAACGCTTGCCGCGAAGCGACTTGCGCCACACCCCAGGCTCTCCCGAACACAAAAATGTGAAGCGTCCATCCAGCCATCCATTCATCACGACCATCTTCCCAACTTTCCATCTGACTGAGCGTTCGGATGCATTTATCCAACAGTTATCGCTGGGTAAGGGCGGGCAGCGAGAGAAAGCGGGGGCTTGTTGTTCTTCGCCTCCGCTTTGATGCCAAAAGACTCCGTATCATCCGCCAAGACCACCCACGTTTTAACCGGAGGAAATATGCGGACCTTATAGGCACAGCGATGAATAGCACCGATGCAAACTATCGTGATGAACGAATGAGCCAAATCATATGCATAGGAGATCAACTACGGCTGTGTCGGACTCTGGGATTGCGCTATAGCTCTGGCTGGATCTATCGTCTTGCCACCCGCCCCACCTATTCGGGTCTCTGTCCCATCCCACCCGTGCTCAATACCTGTGATTGTGGCGAACCACAATGTCGCAGCTAGAACTTCAGAATCTGCGTTAAAACTCGGATACGGGAGTGGTCCCTGGAAAATGACGCGTGTAGAGGACCCGTCTCCCAATAAAAGGTGAAATCTCTTGACATTGATGCACTATTCAAGCGTCTATTGATACTTTTAAATAGCGCCGGGTGCCCTGTTTGAGGCCGGCCAAATCCCTTGGCAAAATGCAGCTGTATGCACACGCCACTATTATTCCACAGGTGCTGATCCGGGTTATCCACCACGTCACCAAGTAGCACCTGCCATTTCGAAACCCTACACGAACACAGCACCTTCCTCATCATAAACCCAAGCCCACAATATCTCCGGCCGGGCCAAAACAAAAAGGGTCATGTTGTTGAAAATAACTTCTTGTCAGCGTACACTCTACGCAACATTTCGTTTACGTTGCATGATACCGCCGCCAATACTACTATCTTTACGCCGTTCTTTCTATTTGCCGGCCCGTAGGCGCGATCGGCGCAAACAGTTTCGGAAAACACGCTTAGACTCTGAGCATTCTGTCGAATATTCTATAGTATTTGTTATTGTATTGGTCCCACTGAGACTGGCACGCAACCAGTCGGTTGGCACGTTCGGTGCACGACACACGAAGCACACACGCACACACCGCTTCTGTCTCCAATGCGGACGATGGCCTAGCCTTCCCCCTTACGAAACCCCAGTCGATGACCTTCAGAAGCAGCGGTTCCCGGTTCTAGATACACGGAGCCTGACGCCTCGTCATTTGTCAGCTGCTTGGCGCGGCCGACGTTCACAACAAAAAAAATCACACGAGAGATGCTGATAGCAGGTGGGAAAACATAAAAACACTCCAATGAGACTCACGTCTTTTCAGTGGCCAGCCGCCGGTCAGCGTGGTCGATGCTAACATAAAGACACGATCACGCACAGCAAGCTGATTTTTCGCTACCCTATAGTGTTCACTTATCCCACCACCATCATGCACGGGTCAGGGGTACAACTGCACCCCCCCCTTTCCATGTCGTACCACTCATTTTCTCAACCCAATTGGTCCAGGGTGGTGTGCTCCCGACAGGCAACTGAAAGCTCCCAACGTCTCGCGAACTTTGTCCTGCCGTCTGCTTCTACGGTCGTCTACGGCACCAAGGCTCAACGAAGGCCTTTCCCTCGAAGGCGAACACGACCGTAGCAACGACTACAAACATGTGTGCACACGCACACGCTCTTTACTTTGGTCCTCTTCCAGGGACCTTGTTTTTTCCCGCTGGAATTGACGCATTTTCATTGGTCAGCCGGTTAACGCGGCCGACATAAACCAACAAACACACACACGGCGCACACGCACACGTCGGCACAACTATTTTTTATGACTAGAAAAACGTGATCGTCTTTTTACCCCCATATATTTGTCGCTGCCTGACGGCTTCCGCCGTTCATGACAACGTGCTCTCTCTCCCCTCCCCCTCCCCAAATCGATGATATGTGCCTTTCTACGCGGTAGCCTGCAAACCTGTTTAGCATTCTCTCCCGCTTCCCGTGAGCCCCTGCGATGGTGCGAAGTAGTATCGTTAAGCCCCTACAGTAGTAGCAGTGTGCCCTCCATAACACCGGAATCTGCCCGCCGAATCGACAGACGCTATTCAGAGGGACCGGAGCTATCCAATGTACAGAATTACTTGGTGATTCAGAAGGTCGGTGCCCACATGTTCCACCGACGCTTCGGCAGGGCCACCACCGGCGTTATTCAACCGGCGCTGTTGAGGGCCACTAACGCTGTGCCACGTCCTAGAGCAACTTGATGATGGCGTAAAGCATCGCACCGCCGACACCCATGATGAACGGGGTGTCCATGGTGTGCGGCGAAAACGCCTCGGCGAGCGTCAAAGCCATCGGCAGCGTCAGCAGGGCCACCAGGAACTGCCAGAACGTGGCAAACGACTGCACACCGATGCGCCAACCAAAAGGAAAGGCGGGGGGGATGGGGGAGGTATTTGCTGTTGCAATGGTTCGAGTTTGTAGCCGTCGAGGAGCTGACCATGTACGTTCAGACGAGAGGTGTGGCAGGGAGTATGAGCGGCCCCAAAACAAGAAGCCGATTATGGAAGGAAGGGGGGCGTGGGGCCACGGTGGCGTCGCTTGTTTGTCGATATTTCTGTAGCACAGCATTTCATGCGTCACCGTGTCCCTACAACAGAGAGAGGGCAACCAGTTCATTTGGTCGCGCCATGGCGTGTGGCAATGACACGCCATGCAAAACTAGCAGCAGGCAAAATTAGTAGTATAGAAACCTTCGCGCTTTCGTGCCACGAAGGCCGCATGATGATGCATCAGTAAGTCATCGAGAACATGCGGCAGAGAAAATCAACACACAAATTGGAGGCACCGCACCGTCGTTCGGGGGAGGGGGGGGGTTACCTGCATCACTGGCGATTTCCACTATGTTCGACGCTTGCATGTTAAACGGTTTCTCCCGCTCGTCACGGTTGGCAGGGGGCAACGCAGTTCGGGGGGGGGGAACTATACTCGAAGCTTGCATGTCCAACGGTTTCTCCCGCTCGTCACGGTTGGCAGGGGGCACCGTAGTTCGGGGGGGGGGGGCGGAGGTACCAATGAACTTTGAAAATTCTTACCGTGAAGACCATGATGATTGTCGCCACGGTCACGATGAAGACGCAGCACGAGCCCTCGAAAGAACGCTCGTAGTACTTGTCGGCGTCACAGCTGCGCACCATGTACTTGTGCTTCCCCAGCCAAATGCCCACCTGAGGAAGTGAGGTGCGCCGAGTCGGGTCCAAATTGATGGCTAAGCAGGTCTGTAGCTCGAGCGGAATGCTTCCTCAAATATGTACAGGGTCGCTACTTTGGTGCTCCTTGCAAAGGTAAAAATGGTTGCTGCCATAGATCGGCTCTGCGTAAGTTGTTGCTACAGGTGCGTCTAGGGAGTTCAATACTCGTTCTCTTCCAAGCACGCAAGCGTGATCCAGCCGACATCCAATAGATGTCTTTCCTCTGCCCGCCTCTCGCCATCGAACTTGGTCCAATCGAATAACTGGTTGAAGACGTCTATCCGTCACAAACAACTATCTGGTAGGGAAAAAAGAACAAGCGGGCCATCTGGTTTTCGTTAGTGCCGCGTACCTGTTATATTTTAAAAACTTGGAGTGCGTATGTACTATTATGTGTCGGGGGTATCTCAAAAATGATTCATTCGTCCATCCGCCGTTCGATGTTGTGCCGCTTGCGCGAAACGATTTGATAAATACCGCCAAAAGAAAAAAACGCCCGCGGACTCAGGATTCAAGAGGACGCTACGAAGCCCTTAAAGATTGCGGTCTTCCTCTGGTGTGGAAACACGGCCAGTGCGTCCCACCACATCACCGGCAAGGTGTAAAAACTATATAAGGTTCAGAAGAGACATGGGACTCCGACAAGAACGTCACACCAGACGGCCAAGACTTGTGAGGAGAAAGAAAAACGCGTGTGCGTGCGTGTGAGATTTGGCATTAGTATCGACCACGCCAACCGGCTGTGACCAATAAAAATACGTCACTCTCATTGCGGCTGAAAACACAAAATGTGAGTGTGTTTCTTACTACCATCGACCGCGCCAACCGGCTGACCAATGAAAGGACGGTATTGTAGCCATGGTGCGGCCGAAATCGCTTCAAAAGGTCATGATCTGGAGTCCCGTGAGGGGGAGTCACGGGGCGAGCTAGGCTGTTCTTCAGACTGAACACAGAAAGAGATGCTAGGCTATTCTTCAGACTGAACACAGAAAGGGGGGCTAAGCCATTCTTCAAACTCAACACAAAAAACGGCATAAGATGAAGACAAGTGAAGTTGACGTGGGCACAATTGTGTTACTGCGTTTCCGTCCCGTCTAAGCCCGCGCTCCCTTGCGGCCTAAAAGTGTTGACGCACCAGCCAAGGGTCAAGTAACACAGCAGAGGATAACTATTGAGAAAAACGCAAGAAGAAGGTGCTGTTCTCTTTGGTTAGACGACTTTGCAAACATACAAAAGGACATTGAAAAAAACACGACACGAAAGTGGAGACCGACAACTCACCGGCTCGGCGAGGCCGTCGCCTACCCCGGTCACGAAAACGAGGATGTAGACGAGGTCGCGCTGGTAGGACTGCCGGAAGAGGTGGGCGAAGAAGACGATCATTATCTCCCCGGGCCAGATGTTGTACTTAATGATCCATTCCAGCGTGTGCGGGCGGTCCTGGGGGCAGCGGGGCGATGCAGCGACGGGGGGAGTTGCGAGAGGGCCGGAGGATTCAGACGCTGTTGTTGTTGTTGGTGGTGGTGTTGTGGTTGTGGCTATTTCGCTGTTGTCTTGGCAAAATGAATCGATGCGGGCCTCTGCAGTACTCAGGAGATTCTTCTTCCTTCGGCCTCGATGCAAAGAATACGAGCTCCGGTGGCCACAAGCCAACCCAAAGCAAGACCGCTTCCGGCAAAACACTTCAGGTCGGTACCGTCGACAGGGTTGCGAGCACGAGGTGACGGACACTACAGGATCAGAATGCCTGAAGAAAAAAAAAAGAAGCAGTGTGTGTGTGATGGCATCTCGCTTCGAAGCACCGTATCAACTCGTGTTGTACACTATCATACCGTACCGTACACTATCATACCGTTCAAGGTGAACCCACACCATTTCATAACGCGGGACCTCTTTCGAGTGGAATTAATTTGAAAACAACACGCAATTTCATCGAACGGGACAAACCCCCCTCCGTATAATCCCATCCGTATTCCGTACCAAAACACCTACTTTCCGTCCCATCCCATTTCACGGGACATCATGCGGTAACCATTCCGCACCACAAGTAGTCAACCCGGAAGCACTTGACATTCTCTCCACCTCCGGCTCCGCTGAATGTGAAAATTCCGAACAATTTCCTCACATAAGAATCGCATCATAACTGCTACCGTGTCAAATCCATACCACACCGTACTGTTTCGTTCCATATCGCATCACAACGTACAATAAAACACCATGTTTTACGAGGGGAAAATCACATGCTCCGTACCTCCGGGCGGTCGAGTCCGTTGAACTGCAGCATGAAGAGCGGGACAGCCTCTCGGATGGGCTTGATCATCACCAAGAAGCCGATCAACGTCACCCATACGCCCCAGCTCAGCTGCGGCAGCAACAGCGACAAGCAAGCAACAACGACGGCAGCAGTGTAACCGTGTGCGGCACTGCCAAGTGGCGTGAATATGTGCCGGCATCGATAGCCGAAGGAACCGGACTGCAAAAGCTGGCCTCCATCCGCCATCTGTGCCTTGCTTGTTTGTGGAAGCCCGTAGCCTGGCACCACGACATACCGCGGATGTCATAGCCGTGACGAGAGCACGGAAGACGAAGGTGCTAAATGCACAAGGTCTTAGCAGCTTTTGAATGGACTCGTGCAACCACTGGAGGGGAGACATTATCGTGATTGCCCCCAAGATTCGTGTAGACTACATTGTCAACAACCGCCCAAGGAACATCTCGGCGCTCATCGTCACCAACATCTTTATTTCGCCTTGCTTTTCTGTGGAACGGGCACGGACATGAGAAACGTTCAAATTCGAGTCGAGGGTCGAGTCCCATTTCGCCGCCACCGTCAAGCTCAGGATATCTTGTGGCGGAGTTCAGCGTATTATCCACCGCTCGCTGAGCTCGTTGTGTTTCAACCCTGTTGTTTAATATTCGATGCAACTCCGAGCGCCTCTGGTACATACTGTAAAGGATTTCTTGCTTTCGGGAACAGACTGTACAAACTCTGCGTCTATGATGCGATAATGTTGTTTTGGAGGAACCAACCTCTAGTGCTCGGTCTGAATTTCAACAACCACGCTAAGAAAAAATGCAAGTGCAAAAAATACCAACGGGGGCGTGCATGCTATATCTGTGGCGGAAATTTCTGCAACTTGATGCACAACAACCGCAAACACGGTGCTTTGCACACCACTACGCTCAGCACATTCTCCTACATAGCCCTAGCGTCCGACGTACTTGTGTCAAGGCCATCGACATACCGACAGCATGTCCCCACCAAGGAGAACAACGAGAAAGAGTTGTCACGTCTCGTCTCAGGGACAATTGTTTTGACAAAATCGCAAAAGAGAGCGAAGGCGGGAGCCAGAAAGGCAGGCAATCCCCCGCGTCCGTGCGACCCCAACCGGCGCATCGAACAAACCATTGAATTCCGCAAGGTGCAGACTGGCGCCCAGAACAGAGATCGTTCCTGACGGGCCGCACGACAACAGTCTCAGTGGTTACTATTGATGTCGACGAAAACAACCCGGGGTGTAGAGTCGTGCGTCTACCTGGATGGTGGAGAGCAGTGTTATAGCTCTAACGCTACAATCCCATCTCTCACGTCTTCTGATGCACGGAGATGTCCCCGGGGATTCCAATGAATGAAGCTTTTTTTCTCAGCACAACCTTGCCCTACTCAAGCACTAAGAAACGGCTCTGTCTCGTTGATGCGGTTCAATGATCCCGTTCGTGAAAATAGGTACCTCAAGGGTCCCGGTGCAGTGACAGTCAGGAGAAGGCCGGAAGAGCAGGGGTACCAGGTAGGCGGCGAAATGCTGCACCTTTCGGGTGTAGTTCACCTGGAACAAAAAAAAACAATGAAAAAATAAAAACAAGACGCTGAAAGAGTGAGAAGTGTAGGAGAAGGCCGGAAGAGCAGGGGTACCAGGTAGGCGGCGAAATGCTGCAAATTTCGGGTGTGGAACCAACAAAAACAACGAAATAAATAAAATAACAAGACGTGGAAAGAGTGAGAAGTGCAAAACGACGAGCGAAGGATAAGCATCGAGGGCGGGAACGAAGTATGGAAACAGTCTCCAAATAGCCGTTGTTTGTCCATAGACCTGCACCGTTGAGACCTTCGAAGTGTCCTCCGCGACAGTCTACTGGTCACTCTGATGCGGATGCCTTCGTTGTCGGCGCGATTGAGGCCGTTCCGACCAACCGACACAACGGAGTTCCCCTTCCATCTATGTACCCCGCAAAGAGATCGATACCTATCCAACTGATGCGGATGCCTTCGTTGTCGGCACGTTTGAAGCGTTCCGACCGAGCGACACAACGGAGCTCCCCTTCCATCTACCCGTGAATGAATCGATACCTATGATTTTGTCTCTTACATGTAGCACCAACCTTATCCAGATGCGGACCGGTGCGGATGTTTCGCGGTAGTGACAGTAGAGACCGGAACGGTACGCACACACACACACCGAGAGGTGCGGCGTGTCCTTAAACGGCTTAAATTGCAAGCTACTACAACACCAACCCAAGGGCTTGCAATTATCTCGAATACTTCAACGACAAATAGGATGCCCGAAATTTCCGGGAAATTTCTCGGCGAGACGGTCGAAACGCCGCCATTTTCGGCACCGTCATTGCTGTTCTTGCTGCCGAGTAACCAGCTTTCGGAAATGGGTCCAAAGTGTGTGGAGCCTTACGCAACCTACGGCGAACACAGCATAGTTCTCGCCTTGAACCACGAGTTCTTGGATGTCATGATATACCCCGTGTCGTCCGCGGGGCAGAAGTACCGGCACAGGGAGCCGGCCAAAATAGACACCGCTATCATGCACGCTAGCTTAGGGACCTGCAAGATGGTCACAAACAAGTCGGCGGCGGTGGCGGCGGTACGAATCAGAGCACAATCAAGCAAAGAGCGCAACCGAGCGACGGCTATTGCTCATGCAATGAACGTACATGCGATGGACGTCTGGTCAACCTACAAACGGCAAACCCTTTCTATCAAAGGGGAAACGGACAGCACTATTAGCGTAGTGGAGCCAAATGAACGTACGGCGGTGTGGGTCTCGGTTGGGGTGGTTTCATCCCATCTCTTCTGGCCACCAGTCTTGGCTTATCGGTGTGTTGGTATGTTTGACGCACCAGCCGGAGTCACTCGGTGGGGCGGGGGGAAGACAAACAGAACAGTACGCCTGTTTGCAAACCAATCGACATGTGTGTATGTAGGGTTTCTGCTACTGGTATCTACGGAGGACCCGATTCCCAGGGTATCCGTCTATTTACTTTTTACCAGAATCGGTACGCCTTCGCGCTACGCTACGCCCACCACCACACAAATGACAAAGGTGTACATTGAACCTTTGCCACCGAAGCTTCCCTGAAGCCCCAGCGGTACAACAGCTTCCACCGAGCAAGGAGCAAGGGGGTAAATACGAAGGAGGGTTTTAACTCTACTCAATCAGAATCCGCACAGCGTACATGATCGGTCAACACTGCCAATCCTAACCCCAACACCAAGGACAACGCACCTGTAGCACCCAGAATTCTGCGTTTTGGAACAGGGTCGGCTGGATCCACAGCGTGAGCCCGATGTTTACTGCCAACCAGGCCACCGTCACCTGCACCAGCGTCATGTCGAATGTGCCTGGAGGGGTGCGAGAGGTATGATTGGGTATGGTCGTCCTGCATGTTTTGGGGACTTCAAGACAAAGATACAAAACGCGCCCTTGCAACTTAACGTATTTTCTCATCGCTCCTTTCCACGGAATCGGATCTGATTCAGGTACCATGCTACCGCAGCCCACTTTGACCGACTGCGTACGCCGTGTAAATCACGCCTCTAGCTCGAAGTGTTGTCTCGAGGCATCCATGACGTTCAAGCAATCTGTCGCCTGTCAGCCGAGCCACCTGCTCATCGCCATACTACAATAAAACAAGCCTGCTCTCTGTTCTTTCAGTCCGGCTCACTATCCCCCTGCACGAAGGTTAGTCTGTAACAGCAAGACTGATGCGCCTGCTATCCTTCCGAGAGGGGGGCGCGAGTGTGCGTTGGGGAGGGGTAACGACAGAAGACAACGAACGAATTTCGCCGCCCGAACCAAGGGCGTTGACTCCATCATCATCGTGGTCCTCCTTACTCGTGAACACGGGTTCATGTGCTACAGACCTCTACGGCTGCGTGAGCCTTCTTCTCAGATCGAATCCGGTTCCTCTCTCACCCTTCCAGTCCAAGGAATAGTCCCCCGCGACCTCGCCGGCCTCTATCACCGACTTGTTTGTCCCTGTAGACCCGGTGGAGGTGTAGCTGTTTCCACTGGGCAAGCCCTTGCCGGCTCCGTTCCCGGGACTGTTCCCCCGCCCATTCTCCACCGAGTAATAACCGCTGGGCAGAAGGACAGCGGCGAGAGGGGGAGCATGGGGGGGGGGGAGGCGTCGTTTGTGCGGACCAGAGCGGCTGCTCATGACATGCGCTTGTAAGCCAGAGCGAGTTCCGTATTGGTTGGACAAGGACATGAAAAAGCAAAAACAGCAGGCACGGAGCTCGAGGAAATGAAAGAGGACTCGTGGCGCACTACGCATACGAAGAAGTGAGGAAAGAAATAAGAGAAAATGATAAAGTAAGAAAAGTAGCTCACAATGCAGACGGAGCGGCGAACAGAGCCCCATACTCTCCAAAACGCGCCACTTTTGTGCTCCGTGCGATGCCCGAAATTCCCGTGAGGAGGGTGGTGGGCAGAGCAAAAATGTATTATGGCGTAGTCTATTTTTTGAATTCAAAGCCAATAACGACCCCTTGGTAAAACGCACATCCTACCCCCAGAAGATCCTGTTATCACCAAAAAGCATAGAAATAGATTCAGTTTTCGCACGTCTTCGGAGCGACCGTTTTACGCAGCCTTCCATGCCATGAGGACGAGGAGGAGGGCATATGCACCGCACCAAGTTCGGAGCCCTTTTCGCTGTTTGTACCACCCACGCACAACAGCATTATTGATTGTTGCCCGTAACGTGTTTCCCGACAAGTTGTTCCCGAACCAAAACAAAAAGTGCAAAACACAACAACAGCCAAAATTATTTGTACGGAATCCAACGAAACGCCTTCGCAGGAAATTAAGGAAATAGAACAGAGAGGGGGGTACGCAGACCGTATTCCCTAACCCTTACCATAACCCAACTTCCCCAATTGTTACTTTATCCAACATGTTGACTTAATACAATAACCTTGCGTAGGCTTTTGCTGCTGTGGGAAATAGGCTTTCGAGCCCTTTCAGCTCTTCAACCAAGTGTGTTTGCCCCCCAGTACGCACAGTGTAGTCTGCAGCACATGACAGGCACTTTATAATGCTAGCGGCGAAGTTGATTTAGAGGCACCACCTCAGAGTTCAGTATCCGGAGGCGGACAAGGCAACGGAAAGTAGATTCGTTTTATGCTACACAACGCGCCACCACTTTAAGAACTTAGCAGTTAAGAACTTGAGCCTCAAACAATCCACAACATAAGAACTTGGTCATAAGACAGGTGCTTAGTTCCGACGTGGCGTTAAGAACAAGAACCCGCCCTCATGGTGTACCAAATGCGCACGCAGACAAGAACGGAGCCCCAAAACGCGGCGGCTGCAAGATAGGAAGTCAGGACGGTTGGGGGTGACGCAAACAACAGTTTGTTTCAGATTCGAGGCGGGGGGGGGCAGAGGACCTCGTGATGAAAAATGATTGTACGTCTGACGCGCGGAGGGGGAGGCACTCTCTCTCATGTTTCGCATTCCTTACAGGTTAGACCATTGACGACAAGTCATCAGGACGCATAATTGTGCCCACAGGACCGGTCACCGATGGCCAATCATCCCTTCCTGAAGTACTTTGCCAAAGGTGGCTCAATAATGTCTTCCCTAGTCTATCTCGATACCACTTCCCGTCTTTCAACCCACTTGCTATGCCCCAGTACAGCTACCGTCTTCTCCTGGCTATCCCATGCCTCAAGCATATCCCTGTACGTTTACTTGTACGTGTCCAACTCAGTCATGTACATTTCTCTACCCTTGTCGCCCAACACGGACGTTTCGCAACGACACGAACCCGGTCTTCGCGCTCGGAGCCGCACGCACATTTGAACTTGTTGTCTTCATTTTGTCTTCCTTCCCGAATCTTCGTCAACGTTCTCAAAGGCCGTTGTCCCCAGTCCGAATTTTGAGCTTCGGCTTTGTCACTTCATCCATTGGTCCATGTAGTAGGTACCTATTCCTTCTTTCAACATCCGTACAAATCTAGACCCTCCGTATCCTTGGGTCCTTTTGTTAGATTGTGTTCTCTCTCGGCAAAAGTAGCAGGTTCCTTGTTACGAACCCCTATAGACGGACCGTTCGTTTCCAATGAACCCGATACCTTCCGTTCCTTTCCAATGTGTCAACCTCATCGATTTTGAACTACATATTCCATACGTCATCTACAACGTTAGTCCACTCCCTGGGTTATTGCCATTTAACTTCCTTACGCCTCTCCCCGATCGTGGGAGTTGGACCCGAAGGGGGGGCGTACTCTCTGTCTCTCATGTTTTGGATGCCTTAGCGGTTAGACCATTGACCACGTGTCCTCGACAGGACGCAGCATTGTTCCCACAGGACCGACGACCGATGGCCAATCGTTCGATCCTACTTTGCCAAAAAGGTGGCTCAACAATGTTTTTCCCTAGTCTATCTATCCTATCGATATCAGTTCCCGCCTTTTCAACCCATTTCATATGCCCCAGCAGCTCTCCTGACTATTCCGTGCCTCAAAACATGTCTCGTACCTTGTCCTTGCGCTTTTCCCAGCTCACTCATGTGCGTTTCCCTCTCCTTGTACAACGGACATATCCGCAACTACATGAACATGGCCTGCGCACTCGGAGCCGCATTCGCATGTAGATTTGTCGTCTTCATCGTCTACGTTCCCAAATCCTCGTCTACGTTTTCGAAGGCCAATGACCCCAGTCCTAAATATGAGTTTCAGCTTTGTCCCTACATCCCTTGGTCCATGAAGAGGGTACCCCTTGGATCTATTTCCTTCTTTCAACATTTCGTACACATGCAGACCCTCGAGTCCTTGGTTTCTTTGGTTAGGGTATATTCTTCTCTCTTTGCCGAGATATCTTCTACTTCAAACCTCTACACCTTGCGTTTCCAGTACATCGCCTTCGTCAATTTCGAACCCCTTCCATGCGTCATCTACAACATTAACCCACTCCGTAGGTAGGTTGGTACACCCATTCTTCTTGTTTGCCCACTTCGCCTCCTACGCTGTTCTCGGCAACCTCTCCTCTCCCATACCGTAATGCGCTACTGCCGTCTAGGGAGGGGTTAAACGACTGTATTGTACACTTGCATCAGTAGTGTCTCATGATGAAATCCACCCAGAAAGACCTGTGTCATCTGCATAGGGCGATCGGTTTTCATAGACATAAGAACAAGAACCCCGTTTGTCATAGGTGGATGCCTGCTCCAAATAAGAACTTGGCAAATAAGAACATGTGCTCGGTTGGAAGCAACCGATAAGCGTCGAGCCTCAAGCTAAATAAGCGGTTCGTAAGTGGTGGCGCGTTCGGTATAGAAGACCCATTTCACTCATTGCACTACATCTTATTATGACCAAAACTTGTCTGCTCTTTTTAATTGTTGACAAAGGAAGGTCTCAGTGACCCCCTGAAACGCGCCCCACCCTTGGATGCGCACACGCACGCGGTCTCGGGATGGATGGGTGTCCTCCCTGTGGTGCTGCTCTGTCTGATCTCGCCACACGTGTGAAACTTGAAATCTCCACAGCAGCACAGCCGTGTGAACTTGAAATCTCCACACAACAACCATCCACACAACCATCCACACAACGTATGGTTGAACATGACTCTGTAGACTGTACATACATGCGGGAGTACAAAGTGTTGACTCAGAGTCCTCCAGACAACACTGCAGAGAGGCACGAATGTGTATCCAGAACTGTTTGTACACTTCAAACTCCGCGAACCGAACCACAGGACTACAGACACCTCGCGGTTGTAGTTTGTTTTTCGGCCGCCCTGTTGTGCCTGTCGAAACCCATCCTACACATGAAGGCCACGAGCTGCATGTATAGATCATGTACAGCAAGAAATAGTCGATTCCTACAACTCCTGTAGACTATTTTATGCTTTGACTGCTGTAGACTGCTGTCGACAACTGTAGTCTCATGGATACGCACCAAAGATTACTCTCGGCTCGTACTGTAGCCTCCCAGCTGGATGGGGAGCTGGATGGGGAGCTGGATCAGTGGTTGACTAAAGCAGTAGTGAATGCTCTCGGCTCGTAGCCTCCCAGCTGGATGAATTGTTGCAGGGATCTCCGGGACGGACACCTTGCCAGCTTGCCAGGCCTACCGGAAAAAGAACGTAAATGGTGCGCACCATATTTTTCCGCACCTTGGGCGAGGGGCCCGTTCCCGGAGATCCCTACAACAACCACGGATGATCCAGCTGGGAGGCTACGGGCCAAGAGTATATCTTTGGTTAGAAAAAGGCTCGTCCATTGACTGCTGACTGATCGTCACAAGGCGGTATCCTGCTTTGGCAACGTGATCTCCGGCAGGGAGCTGTTTCAGAAGAATGTTAATGTTTCTCAGCGAGGAGCAAAAAACGACAGCCACAGGTCCATGAAAGGACGGGAGGGCGGGCTTTCTCGCCACCCTGCAGCAGGCAGCACCGCTGCGAGAGTGACATTCTTGAATGAGGGGATGCTGGATAAACGCTGGCGAGACGCAAACAGCAGCTGTCCATCCGTCCACACCTCTGCAAGAACAACAGAAAAGAGCTGCCGCACACCAAAGGGCAACTTGGTGCAAAATTTCAGGTTACCCAGCAGCAGCACACACGCAAAGCGACCCACCGGCTCGGTGACTCTGCTCAACCTCCACCGCTATCACAGCTGAATAGTTCAATGCCCTCACCCATTGGAGGCGTCTTGCAGCGCGCTCCTCTCGGTGACGCTGCCTCCGCCGCCGGCGTCGCCGAGCAGCGTCGCAGGCGTGAAGTCCTTAAGGTTGTTGTCGCGAGTCGGGCAAGGCCACACCACTCGCAGCCAGACGCAGCATGCCACCAGTGTCAGGAAGGGCAGGGACACCAAGGCCCAGTACGTCTCGTCCGGCACGTTCGGCCACTCGTGTGTCGTTTGCTCGAGTATCTCGGAAAAGCTCCTCATGGTGCGCGAGTGCTGCTGCTCGAGGACGAACCGGTACAGGTGTGCGTGTCCTCTTTGCAGCAGCCAGCAGCCCAAAGGTACGCAAACAAATTGAACGTCTGACGTACGTACGTAGGTCTCTTTTGGCCACCCTTTGGCCCGCTGTCTCGAGGCAAATCCCAGGGAAACGTCGACGGAGGTAGGGCGCTGTTTCGGGATGGGCAGGTGTATTGTGGTCGTTGTACACACCTATAACACGCTGCCCGTTTTGCCCGCTCGAACGGCGGCCAATAAATGATCCGCTAGGGTATATATACATTGAGAGCGTTTCATGTCACTGCGCGCGCCGCGTCGATGGTTGATGACAAATGCGATGATGTGCATCATGTTTTCATGTGTCCATTGGCTATCATACATGTGCGAGATCGCGAGTCGACCCAGCTCTCAGGCTCGCGTTGCACGCATAGCGTGTCTCTCTCTCGACCTGTACAAGGCTGTTTGGTTTGCCTCTACTGCAGCACCTAGAGAGCGTCGGCGCTTGATTGCACCAAAGCTGCTGCATTGACGTTGTCAGCTGGAGAGCGGCGGGACCTACATATACATATCCGCCGCTGATCACACAACGCACATATCCACACATCATACATCCCAATCAAGCACGCAAAGGTGGGATCTATTGGGCGGAAAGGGGATTATTGATGTGATCTGTGATTGGGTTTTGCGTTGGGTAAGGGTGTGAGATGCCGTGGTCCAACACAGCAATGCTTCGGATACTCCGCACTGCCTATTGTACAGTGCAGTCTAGACAACGCATTTTTGTCGGATGTGCGCGACGTTCGATCCACACCGCTGTCTGCCTGTGGCGGGATTTTTTAAGCATGGAGACGCCGGGATTGTCGGGTGCAAAGTAATTAGTTCCTATATTGTGCGAACGTTCACCGCGCGCACCCCCAATATGTTTGTCGGCTACTGGCGACCGATATTCCGTGCCTAAGATACATTTTGATCACGCTGCAGGCGAGCTGAGAACCGCGCTTCTACTACAAGTACAAAACACGATGAAGGTGTCTGTCGAAGTGGGTGGACAGAGCATGGAGATCCCATGCGGACAAGGAGGGCAGGTGGGGTCGATGGTAGAGACACTCATAAAGGCACTCTCGAGGCCGCCGTTAAAAAACTGCACTAAGAACAAAAGACTACAGAATGTACTACTGTGTAGGCACGCAGCTCTTTTGCTGCTGTTTGCCTGTTTTTTTACGGGACTCGAACGGTGTTGCTGTCGTTGGGGTGGTGTCTGATTCTTGCCGGAGTATGGTTCAGCTGACATCGTAAGGCCTGGCTCTTCTGTTGTGGGCGAATCTCTCCAGAGTGCACAAACTCGCAAAATTGAAGAAGTTGCACAATATGTCGCTTGCACACACAACAAGAGGAACGGACTGCCGAACCAACAGTACATATTTAGTTTCGTCAATACTTTCGGAAAGCCCCGCTAGAGGAAAGGGAAACCCAAGTGTCTTGGTTTAATGTGGAACCAAAATTGTCTTGGTTAGTGTGTGGGGTCACGATGATACTGGTTTGAGTATTGGCGGACGCGGCACGTATCGTTGAGTAGGAGGGGGGGGTTGGGTTCGGGCACTTCTGTTGTTTGTTGCCCCGCAAGTGTCTCGTTTCTTATGTGGGGCCTCCAAGTGTCTTGGTTTTAGTGTGGAACTCCCAAGTGTCTTGATTTGAGTGTGGGGGTCACTACTATAATGGGGGGCGCGTTTGGCTGATGGAGTATAGGAGGGGGGTTATCTTTGGGGTGGGGATAATTCTTGAGTTTTGGGGGGCGGGACAGGCGTTTAGCCCCACCCACCCCCTACCTGGAAAAGGGCATGTATGGCCATTCATAGGCCAACTCAATGTTTTCCGGCCGTTCAGCCGCATGGTTCAAGCACCAACTAAATAAAAAGAAAAAGTTTTTCTTGCTAAAAAGACGCCGGAGAATTCAACGAAAAAATCGGAAAACAGATCGGACACCGTTAAGGGGGCGCAAAAGCATAACGGCACAGACTTATGATACGGAGGAAGTACAATCACAATCCTCTATACAGCAGTGGCAATTGAAGTCGGTCTACCTGCCAACACGGAAACCCAGAGAGGATAATACTCCTCTTCCGGTTGAATGTGAACACGAAGTTTGTGAACACTTCCCCTGTGTTACACCTTACCTGGGTTTAGCTCGTGACCACGGAAATGCCTCTTGGTTGCAGTACGTCGTTGTCGTTGTTGTCGTCGTTGTTGTCGGTCTCCTCCTACATGTACATAGTCTACATGTTGTGGGGACCCGACAACAACGACAACGACGTACTACAACCACAGCGACAGACCAATAACCAACAACAACAACGAGTAAGAAGCCAATAAGACGTATACATCAAGGGAGGCGGGAAAGCTGATCCTTGCTGCGGTAGTTGGAATGCCCTTTCGCTGACAGCCGCCGCCCCCCTCCCCCCCCCCCCCCCACACACACACATCTCTGGCCAACAAGAATGTTCGCTGGCTGGCCCTGGCAGCATCGCAGAGGCTCCAGCTGATGCAGCCCAAAGGACGTCAAAGGATGAGGGAAGCGGGGGACGCACGGCGAGGGTTTGCGCTTCCGAAAGCCGTGCTCGTGAAGGTGCGCGCTTTCAGGGCGAACCAAACTACAGTACCACCACAGCAGGGTGCGAGGCACCAGCGTGAGCGCTGCTGACGGGAGCTGTCCGATGGAATCGCAGCTTGCCTTAGACGAGAGAGCATCCGAGAAATACTATTGTGCGTACGCGTCCATCCATCTCGCTTTTCGTATGCCATACCGAAGTATGTAGCGTTCGGCGTCAACGTCACCTTTGCTGACACAATAATAGCGGGGCGGTCATTATGAGGTACTTCGCCACATTACCCGGCGACTCATAACGCCAAACGGTCGTCTACGCTCCATAGCCTTGACGTCACTGAGATACGAATGGTCACTACAATGCAGCAGGCTTTTCGTCCGGATGCGGTGACTCTGTCCGGCACATTGCTCTTGATCCTCTTTCATGGCAGGGGGGCGGCAGTCTAGACGATCCGTACTCGACGATTGGCGACGTGCTGGAAGACGGGGCGGAAGTGGAGGTGCGAAAGGGGGGACCCGTCAACCGCACCCTGTACGAATGTGGTACCGGTGTAGACCGTACGTTGCGTATAATGTTTTTCGTCGCTGCGAGACAACATTTTAGTCGCGATTCTTGACGTCACACGTCAACTCAAGCTTTTGGAAACTCTTTACGACCCCTCACGTGTCGAGCTGGTGTAAAACAAGACACCCAAGCTCTATTTCAACCGGGATATGGCCATACCCCACGGTCTTTTCGTACCTCGGTCGGCAAAACCCGGGATTTTGTTCACTACCGAGAAACCTGGACCACCTGCTGCATGATATCGCGTAAAACGCATGTATTCCTTGCTGTAGGTGGTCTTGATGGATGCGGTGGAAGTGGACGATGTCGGTGCTCCCGTGGCTAGCGAGTGGTTCCTCAAGGCCTTCGGCTCTGGGGAGGCTACGAAGAGAAGGTACTCACCCCAAGCAGGTACTCATCTGAAGAGGGTACTCACCTCAAGAAGGGTACGTACAAGTATGCCTGAATGTCGAAGGCGACTTGAAGACCTGAAATCGGAATGAAACAATTCGCATTCTGAAATATCCCGCCAAGCTCCAGGTGCGATGAATGCTTAGGGGTGTGTACTCATAGCCGTTCGTGCCGAAGTCGTTTGACCATTGACCTCGCATCCTTACAAACCCGTGACATTGCACGCCGGGTTTCACGGACCAGGCTAGAAGGGGGGAATTGTCTCGGGTTCCACGGGCAACGATTTGGCACTTTCCGCAGATATCTGAGGCAAAATAAAAAACACCGAGAATATATCTATTGCCCCCCCCCCCCCAAGCCAAACCCGGGCCGGGGAGAACCCGGGGGGGTCCCTCCCGGCTTTT